ATATATATATATATATGTGTGTATATATATATATATATATATATATATACATTTCTATTTTCATTAAGCTATATAATAGGTGTTTGTTACTCACCGGAGAGTCTGCGTTCAAAACATTGAAGATCCTCCTGCTCGAAGACAACGGAGACTGCGCGCGGATTAACCGACGTTAATCACGTGACGCGCAGGGCGGGAAGCGCGCGCTGAGCTGATCTGATCTCTGAGGGCTAACATACAACAGCGGTTAAAACGAGTCAAAGTTGACGGGTTCGTTTAAAAGTGGGTCACGAAGACATACAAACGCTCAGGCTACACGCAAGTGCTAGTCTCTTTGTGTTCGTATGGTTTAAGCTGCATTTATTTATTTGTCCTTTCGCGACACGACATATAACTTGCTGCAGACGGTTGTCTTGAAAATGATATTAAGACAACACAAACTGTTAAAATAACTTAATCTTTAATAATAAGTAAATACACGCCATGGCAAACAGGTAAGTTGACCGTTTTGTATTAAACAATGTTCAGTTCACGTCATAATGTCGAGAAATGCTATAGTAGGCTATATTCACATCAAGTTTAATCACAGTTTTAAATCTAAAGCATTGCAAAATCACCTTACAAGAGTCACTTTTCAGAAGTGTTTTGTTGGAAAATATGTAAATTAAGTGTAGGCTATATTTGATTTATTATTATGTATATATAGGGGAGAGCGCGGCACAATGTAACACTTTTTGACTTTCTCAGTTTGCGTAAATCCACATGGGGTTCAGAATATAATTTTTTTTATCCGCAGTAATTTCACGCGTGTCTAGTACAAATATGTCACTTTGTTTCACAATTACAGTGTATACGTTTTTCTTTATTTACGCCCAAAAATTGGTGAAATGTGACAACATGCCCCGTAGGTGGGGTACATCGTAACATCTGAGGGGCACGTTGTAACATGACCATATGACAGCTTAAAATGTTATCTGATCGCATTAAAAAATATACAAGACAAACTAAAATATTTTGTAAATAAAATAAAATAAAAAATTCAAATAAAATAATGGTGTTCTTTAAGAATTAAAAATAATCAGATTTTGGAGTTTGACGATGAACGCATGGCAACCATGTTTGGGACGGCCCACAAAAATGCGCAAAAATGCTTTACATGTCTTAAAATAATAATTTCTGAACATTAAACATTGACGCTCAGTCTTTATTCACCTGTTTCTCATCGTTTCTCATTAAAATTCATTAAATAGTGTTAATTACATCACTAATGTCACAGAATAGCATAGTTTAATAATAGCGGGGCACATTGTAGCACAGTTACAACGTTTCCCATCTGCGCAACTGGAATTAGTGTCTTCTGCTAGTTATCAAAGCATTAAAAAACGATCTAAACTGATAAATAACAGATTGGAGATTAAAATAATAGCAGATTTGTCTCGTTTTAAATAATAAAAACGGAGACGAAAAATTTACTTTAACCAGAATTTAAATTTTACTGTGGTAAAATAGATGTTCAGCGTTATCTTCAAAAGATTTTAGAATTTTGGCGCACTCTTTTCTCTATATAGTGTTGATATGGTAACTAATTATATATATATATTTCCAACCCATTTAAAAAAAAAATTCTTCTGCAGTTCTGGCTCATGAGACAGTCCTCACAGTTATATCAGAGTCCCGATGATGACCCGTTAATGTCTTCTCTCTGGCTTGGCCTTAATTACTAGGGCTGGGTTTTGACACAAATTTCATGATTCGATTAAATTCTTATTCACAAGCTTGTGATTCGATTCGATTACCGATTCGATTCAATTCAATATCAGTACAGTACATGCCAAATTTTCAAAGAAAAAAAATCTCAACTAATGCTGTAAAATATACATGAGAATCAGTTGGTACTACATTACTATAATATTGAAGGTTAAAATTTACTGATTTGTTAAAATTGCACTTAATGAAGTTTTTAAAATAAGTTACAATTACATAATAATATTTCTACTTCAGTTCTTTTTTTTTTTAAATATGAACATAATGGTGGCGGTCATAACTTGATTTATTCAAACATTGAAGAACAGTAAAATTTATAATGAATATGTTATATGGTGGATATTTAGATTATTACAGTTTATCTTTCTAGCTGACTAATTCGGTTTATGGTCACCAAATGTGTTTTTTCTGAGGTAAATGTGACGTTACGTGACATTGTTTACAAGACGTTATATTGACGTCTTTGCGCGGCTGAAACAGATTGAGTGATTACATGAGACAGGATACGGATTGTAAAGTTGTGCTCTTTCTTTTAACTTACCTTCGGATGTTTAGTCATGTTTATTTTGTGCTATAACTAGTAATAAAGCGGAGGAGATGATTAGTTCACTGAGGCGCTACAGCGATCACTCCACATTAAACAGCACCAAAACGACATTTATTGTTTGAATACTGCAATACAATTGACAGAATTTGAAATCTGAGACTTTGCTTCATATTAAAAGTACCAAAGCACAATGCTTACTGCGATATATTGGATGGGAAGTGCCCTTCAACGTTCCGTCCATTAACTGAAAACAGGCTAGACTAATCGATTCTTGGGATTTAAGAATCGATATCGTTCCGTAAAAATGAGAATTGATTAATATCGAGATATTTTTTACCCAGCCCTATTAATTCCGCTCTACCAGACGCCTCTGATGATGGTTACACCTGGCAGTGTGTATTATCTGGACGAGACACAGGCGTCTCCCTCTTCCTGGACACACACTGTCCTTTACGTTTGTTAAGAACGGCTGCTGATTTCCGCTCCAGCACGGCGAGATCCACGTGAAGGGCCTCGGCCATCTCTGCCTTCGTCACGGACACGAAACGCCAGTCGCTGGCAAGACTCTCCAAACCTCTGGCGGTCAGAGCCTCCTGGATGAGGAACTCCGCTGCACTCACTGGACCGTGCTGTCTGGATGCACTGATGCATGATGGGAAACGGAGTTCACGTCTGCTGGAAGATGAGAGGATACGCATAATCATCACTTTTCACCATCCAGTCTATTTCTTCTGGATAGCATCACGTCCCACCCTACATTTGTTTTTTCCATTTAATATCCAGTTGAAAAACGACTGATTACGGACATAAAATGCGTTACGAATGCAATTTTTGAGTTGATTTTAAAGCTGCGGAGAGCAGTTTTGATTGATTGTAGTATTTAATGATGTTATTTTTTACATTATTTCTCATTTAAAACCTTTATCTTCTTAATACGCATTTGTCTTTGACTTCATTATGATTGCAAAGAAACAGATTCTTTCAGCAAACGTAATAACTAGTTAAGGCGTTATTTTTTGTTGTTTCTCATTTAAATAAAAAAAAAAATGGCGCCTATTTACCTTCTTAATATACATTTATCTTTGTCATAATTGCAAAGAAACAACATCTTTTATTAAGTGTAAAAACTTGCTAAAATGTTATTTAGTTAAAGTCACGTTACGTTAAAATCAGCCTGAAATCAAAATGAACCCTATTTACCTTCTAAACACATTTATCTTCATCTTCCTCATGATTACAAAGAAAAAAGTTCTTTTGTTAAATGTAATAACTTGCAAAAGTGATATTTTTGTTGTTTTTAATTTATAATCAACCTTATTCATGCAAATAAAATAATAATTCTTAATACACCGTTATCTTCGTCGTCATCACTGCAAACAAATAAAATCTTTACTAAAGCATTATTTTGTTATTTTTAATTTAAAATCAACCTGAATACACATATATTTTATGTCATAATTTATTGTTTATAAAATGTAAACTTTTGCTAAAAGTCTATTATTTTTACATTATTTCTTATTTACTCCGTTTACCTTTAAAATACCTTTCAAATTTATCTTTGTCGTCTTCATAATTGCAAATAAACAAATTATTTAATCACATATAAGAGTTTTAATCAAATATAAGAGAAAAAATTTGTTTCATTAAATATAATAACTTGCGAATGTGATATTTTTGTAGTTTTTAATTTATAATCAACCTCAAATCTAAATAAAATAAAAAATTAAGAAGGTTAAATGGGGTTATTTACCTTCTTAATACACATTTATCTTCAACTTCCTCATAATTGCACAGAAACAACGTTTTTTATCAAGTGTGATAATTTGCCAAAGCATTATTTTTATTATTACTCAAAATTGATCCTATTTACCTTCTTAAAAAATGCTTTTCTTTTTGTTAATCATCATCATAATTGCAAAAAAAGTTCTTCCGTCAAATGTAACATCAAGTGTTATTTTTATGTTATTGTTTTTTTTCTTCGCTCTCACCTCTGTCTGGCTGTGTTATTATTGGTGTTGGTGTTGGCGTGGTAATGAACATAGGCAGCCGAGGCCTCCGTCTCCTCCGCTCTGCTGTCCGCGATCTGTAGGGGGCGCTGGCTGGTCACTTGGGTGGCCATCGGGGTTCCTCTCTCCATCGTGAACCGATCCACATGGTTTCCAAACAGGCCGCCTGCTCGCTTTTGAACAGAAGAAGAGAGAGGTGAGATACAGCTGTACAGCACGTATTAAAGGGGTCATATGATGCGATTTCAAGTTTTCCTTTTTCTTTGGAGTGTTACAAGCTGTTCGTGAATAGATAAGATTTCTAAAGTTGCAAATACTAAAGTCTCTAATCCAAAGAGATATTCTTTATAAAAGTTAAGAGTCAACCACGCCTACCTAAAACGGCTCGTTCTAACTCGCCCCCACGTCTACGTCACGATGTGGGAAGATTTGCATGACACCGCCCAAATGTTCACGCAAAGAAAGAAGGCGTAACTTTTATTCTCGCTGTTGCCGCCGCCACCATGTCATGGAGACGCTGTGTGTTTCGTTGTGAAAGCGAAACTACTTTGTTTGGTCTTCCAAAAGAGAACACAACTAGAAATCAGTGGTTAAGTTGTATTTACAACACTGTTCCAGAACAGTTAAACCCAAATATTCAGATGTGTGCAGCACATTGTGCAGCACATTTTATGGAGGACTGTTTCCTGATCCTGGGAGAGTAGACTACAATGCCGGCTGTTCTGACTCACAGACTGTAAGTACATTTACATATGTAAAGGATTTGTCACTGATGATCCAAACCACATTTCATTACACCAAATACACAAAATAATGTTATTTTTAGCAACGTCATATGACCCCTTTAATCTTTCTCTACCTAA